CATGGCCTTGTTGTCAGCGTACAAGGTCGGTGCAGAGCGAGGCCGCTCATCAAGGTCGGCGAGCAAGAAGGTCAACCAGCGAAGCTCCTGTGCCGCCATGGCACCAGCGTAGATCTCTGCCTCTGCACTGGAAGTAGCCACAGACGACGACCGTGTAGACCTCCACGACACAGCACCAGCTCCCAGACTGAAGCAGTAACCCTGAGTCGAGCGCTGAGTCTCCACGTCGTCAGCGTAGGAAGAGTCGCAGCGACCAGTCAACGCCACTGGCTGAGTCCCTCCAAGCACAAGCCCCATGCCTGATGTAGTCGCCAGGTACTTTGCCACCCTCACAGCAACTGTCCAATGGACAGGACGGTGTCTCCCAGTCGCAACAAAGCGAGAAAGGATGCTGCCGGGAAAGGCGAGGTCCGGCCGAGTACAAGTCATCAGGTACATGAGGCAGCCCACCAGCTCTGCGTAGGGACCACTGGACTCAAAGGGCTCGTCTGGAAAGGGGCCAGTGAGTCTGTGGTCAACCACAAGAGGTGTGGGCTGTGTGGTGGAGAACTGGAAGTCGAACCGCCGAAGGACCTGCTGCACCATGTGTGACTGAGTCAGTGTGATGGTGCGAGCGGCTCTGTCCCTGGTGATCTGCAGGCCAAGGTAGCGCTGCAGTTCACCTAGGTCAGTGCACGTGTGTCTCTTCTGCAGTTCGGACTTCACCTGAGCCAGAGCTGCCCTGTCTGCTGTGGCAAAGACAAAGTCGTCGACGTACACTAGTATAAAGAAAGGAGTGGAACCAGTGCGAACAAACAGCGACGGGTCGGCTGAGGAAGGACAAAACCCAAGGTCATGAAGCGTGGAGCGAAGAGTGTCGTGCCACTCACGGGGCGACTGGCGGAGACCGTAGACTGGCCGTCTCAGGCTCCACTGGGTCCCAGGTGGGAAGGTGTCAGTGAAGCCAGGAGGGCGGCGCAGCCAGATCTCCTCGTGTAGTCGGCCCTGGAGAAACGCAGTAGAGAAGTCAAGGGAGTGCAGCTCGTAGTCTCGCTGTGCTGCTACGTGCAGTAACACCCGAAGAGTAGTCATCTTCGGGGTCGGGGCGAAGGTCTGGAAGAAGTCAACTCCCTCACGCCGACTGAAACCCCTAGCCACGTAGCGCGCCTTGAACACAGGCGGTGAACCAGGCGGCCGCTTCACCTTGAAGAGCCACATGCCATCGACTACGTTCGCCCTGGGAGGGGGAACTGCGTCGACGTAGGTGCCTGTGGATCTCCAAGACGCTAACTTTGAGGCCATAGTCGCTTTCCACTGAGAGGCCCACGCCCCTGACACTGCCTCGCGGTAAGTACAAGGAGTAGGTATGTCAAGGGCGTCGGGGTCTTCCTCAGGGGAGAGCAGCATGGCACAGACAGAGGGAGAAGCGGCTTCCAGTACTCCAACTCAGACTCTCTGTCCTCTAGGACGTCACAGCCAAGGGCAAACTCACCCCCGACGGACAGAGGACGGGAGGGAGGAGCTGGCACCACACGGGTGGTGTAGTCAAGGCGACTGGCGGCAGCAAACTCAGCGACAGCGGCAGTGAGAGCCGAGACAGACAACGGAGGGAAACGAGAGTCGGTGACAAGAGTGGCGAGGACACGAGAGACAACAGGACGAACAGTACGGTAGTAGTCAGTGACAGGAGTAGGGGGGAAAGGGAGAGAGGAGGGAGGAGGAGACGGGAGAATGGACTCAGGAGGAGAACGACGAAGAGACGAACAAAGGAGGGCAGTGCGGAGGTCGGTAACGGGAGACGAGTGACGAGCACGCGGAGGACAGGGACGGACACGAGAGTGTGGGACAACAGGTGGAGGAGACTGCGGTGGAGGAGAAGACCAGACCGCCGGACTGTCGTCAGGAGGAGGAAACGTGGGACCAAACGCTGGAGGGGACGGAGTGTGAACAGGAGGAGAGGAGGGAAGACCAAGGGCCCGAAGGCCACTCACGGGTGGGAACAACTGCCGCTCCAGAGGGAGCTGCGGTGGGCGCGGCTGCGGCGGCGGTGTCTACTGCTACGGCGGCTGCTGCTGCTGCTGCTGCTGCTGCTGCTGCTGCTGCTGCTCCAGCAGGTCCAACTGCCGCAACTCCTGCCGCTCCCTCTCCAACAGCACCTGCTCCTCACGCTCACGCCGACGGGCCGCCTGGAGACGCGTGTCGTGGCGGTGGGGAGGCGGAGTGGACTCTGCAGAACCAGTGTCTCCAGCTCCAGTCTCCTCAGAACCAGCACCTCCAGCACCAGCACCCCCAGAACCAGCACCTCCAGCTCCAGCACCCCCAGAACTAGCACCTCCTGTGCCAGGACCTCCAACTCCAGCACCCCCAGAACTAGCACCTCCAGTGCCAGCACCTCCAGCTTCAGCACCCCCAGAGCACCACCTGCGCCAGCACCTCCAGCTCCAGCACCCCCAGAGCTAGCGCCACCTGCGCCAGCACCTCCAGCTCCAGCACCCCTCGAACGAGCACCCCCAGACCGAGTATCGCCAGCGGCTGCACCTCCAGCTCCAACACCAACCGAGTCCACAGTAACCTGTCGCGGAAGTGCCGAAGGCTGCTGAGGGGACTGTGAGGAGGACTGCGGGGAGGGAGACGCGACCTGACGCGCGACTGAGGGTAGAGGGGTAGCGTGGGACACACCAGACGGCGCAGGACCAGGGGGGGGCGGGGGTACCGGAGGAGCGGGAACAGGAGGAGGAGAGGGTGCGAGGAAAAGAGGGGGAGGGGGTACCGGGAGACCTCGACAGGGGTACCGGGTGTAGTAGGACACAGACTCGTCAAACCGGACGTCACGGGAGTCTAGGAACTGGTGGAGGGGCGGGTGGTAAAAGGACTAGTCGGCAGAGTCCACTGAGAAACCAAGGAAGACACAGGGGACGGCGCGTGCCGAGAGCTTGTTCGCGGAGGTGTCGCGAACAAGCGCAAGGCAGCCCCAGACACGAAAGGCCGATCCAACACCAGGGGGAACCGGTCCAAAGACTGGTCGGTGAAGCCTCGGGCCGCGAGACACGCGGCTGGAGGTTCAGCTGGTGTGCGGCGTAGCGAACCGTGTAGGGCCACAGAAAATGGGGAGCAAGGTCATGGATCATGGACGTGCGAGCAATGTCCATGACCAAGCCAATGCGGCGCTCAGCACCCCCATTCTGCTGTGGAGACTTCGGAAGCGTCCAGGACTGTACGATGCCCTGTTCGCCGCAAAATCCGCCAAGAATGCCGGAGCGAAACTCGCCCCCACGGTTGGAGCGTAGACAACTGACACGACGACCACGAGTGCCCTCAGTAGCCAGAAGCCACCGGATCAGCGTAGAAGTCACCTCGGACTTCTTCGCGAGAGGGAACACTGTGGTGTACCTGGAGAAGTCGTCGACGACCACCATAAAGTAACGCTCCCTCCCAGATCCCTGCGTCACGGCAGGGCCCCAGACGAACAAGTGGAGAGTCTCGAAGGGAGCAATGACCGGACGAAGTGAGGAGGGGTGGGGAGTGGCGCGTAAGCGACCGGCGACGCAAGGAGTGCAAGGGGGGGCAGGGGAGGTAGGGAGCGACGGAAAGATGAGCGGGAGACCGGTGACAAGCCCGTGAGTGGACATGCCGCGGAGGCGGGGGATCGACGGGTGGCCAAGGCGGTGGTGCCACAAGACGGTCGGTGGGTGAGGGAGCGACAGGAGCAGGACGCAGCGACTGGACTAGACAACGCGACCTGACTAGACACTGCAACTGGACCAGACACGACCACCTGGCTAGACACAGCGACTAGACTGGACACCTGGACTGGAGGGGACGCAACGACCTGAGCGGAGGACGCAACCGGGGAGTGCTCGGTGTGGAGAACGTAGAGATCGGAGCGGGGCTCCCTGGTGAACGTGGCCAGAACAGCACCTGTGGCAGCGTCTGTACAGACCGCAGTCCTCCCACCCCCCACAAAGGTAACGGTGATCCCCCTGTCCTGGAGGTATCCAACACCCACAAAGTTCCGAGTGAACGAGGGAATGTGGAGGCCGCGCAGGACACCGGAGGGGACCACAGGACATGGGAGGGTAGTGGAGCTACGTGCAACGGCTGGTCCTGAGGTAGGATCAGCCAGAGCCACCGAAATAGGAGTGAGGAGTGGCGTGAGGGTCGTGTGGTCGCGGAAGAAGTACTGAGACGCGCCAGAGTCCAGCGTGAAGGACAGGGACGCCTCAGCCGGAGGGTCACCTGTCCTTGTGGCTACACAAGCACTTAGAGCAGCAACACAAGCACCTAGACTAGAAAGGCACAAGTCTACACTAGCAGGAGGCAAGCAAGCTAATCTACGAACACGCGAGCACACAGATCCATCAGCACTATAGTCAACATCAGCATACAAAGCATGCTGACGAGCATCGTCCATAGACAGATCAAACACATCAATCTTACGGGCTAACAGGCGAGCCCAGCGAGGCGTGGTCGCCGCAGGGCCCCAACGAGCACGGCAGAGTTCATCGAGGCGGCGGAAGCACCGCGCGGCAGAGTGGTCGTCGCGACCGCAGAGACAGGGGCTGCCCAGTCCGGTGAAGCACCAGTGGGTGCAGTGGCCAGTGTCACGGCAAGGGCCCAGCAAGTCTGCATCGACGCACCAGTCCTCACCACCATGCAGCAAGCGCCAAACGCCAACTATTCCATCTACACCGTCCGTCAGCAAGCGAGGAACGCCAGAGAGGAGCGCTAGAGGCTAGTGGCTAGGAGCGAGGGGCTACACGTGTCTAACCTAGGTGACCGGCGAGAGAAGCGGCTGCCAGCCGCTGAACGAGAGACCAATGGCAGTAGGAATGGTGAGGGCCCAGCGAACAGGGCTGTGGTGGGGAAGGGTCCACCTGCCGAGTATTGGTGGGAGCGCACGAGACGGTGAGGGAGCGCCGGCACAGTAAGGAGTGGGCGGAATGGGCACGGGCGGTTCTAGGGCGCAGCCTAGGGTTAGGGCGCGGCCTAGGGCTAGGGCGCTGCGGAGGGCACGGCGCGGCTTAGGGAAGGGCGCGGCCTAGGGCAGGGGGAGGGGAGTGAACGCGACGGGGAGGGGAGGCGACGCGACGGGCAGGGGGAGGCGACGGTACGCGACGGGCAGGAGGAGGGGAGGGGAACGCGACTGGCAGGGGGGGGGGAGGCGACGCGACAGGCAGGGGGAGGCGACGGGACGCGACGGGCAGGAGGAGGGGAGGGGAACGCGACGGGCAGAGGGAGGGGAGGCGACGCGACGGGCAGGGGGAGGTGACGGGACGCGACGGGCAGGAGGAGGGGAGGGGAACGCGACGGGCAGAGGGAGGGGAGGCAACGCGACGGGCAGGGGGAGGCGACGGAACGCGACGGGCAGGAGGAGGGGGGGGGGAGGCGACGGGCAGAGGGAGGGGAGGCGACGCGACGGGCAGGGGAAGGCGACGGGACGCGACGGGCAGGAGGAGGGGAGGGGAACGCGACGGGCACAGGGAGGGGAGGCGACGCGACGGGCAGGGGGAGGGGAGGCTACGCGACGAAGGGCGTGCGGAGGGCGCGAGGGTGCTAGTGCGAGCGGAGGGCGCGAGGGCGTTAAGGCGAGCTGAGGGCGCGAGGGCGCTAAGGCGCGGAGGGCGCGGAGGGCGCTAGGGCGCGGAGGGTGCAAGGGCGCGGAGGGCGCTAGGGCGCGAGCTAGGCTAGGCTAGGCGAGAGGATCGACACCTACTCATGATACCATCTCAAAGTTAGCGAACAACGGAAAAGATGAACTAGCAAAGTGTTGGATACAAATAGGAAACCCTACCATCCATACCCTCTAGAATGCAACTCACTATAGCCTATAACTATTATATTTGATAGAAAATGCAATGCAGGCAACCTTCTGTCCCTAGGATGATCTCACAGGGACCGCATTAGAAAGCACAAGGACACAAGGCCTTCGTGATTGCCCCGAGAGTGCCATGTACGGTAAATGTCCACTGGTTGAGTACTAAGGTTCTGTTGGTATATGCATTCAGCACAGGGCCTCATATTCGTTTTTGCCTAGGCTGAAACGTCAGCCTTACCAGGCTATACTAGGCTGATCAATCAGAGTCGTATCAGTAAAAATTGCTGAAATATCAGTCTTGTCCCCTAAAAAAACGCCGACTAAAAAACGAAGGCTGAACCATGGTAAAGCTATTTTTTTGTTCATTAAGTTTAGCACGCCAAACAAACAAGGCGACATTACAAGGTCTTAGCAGCTCATTTCTTCATCTTCATCACTAGAACACTCTACAGCATCTCCTACGGGCTCCTCGTCATCTACATCTATCGCCTCCTCCAGATTCTTGCCCTTCTTGCTGGTGTCACATGGGGTGCATTGCTGCAAGGCTTCCGCTTCCTGTAACTCCGCCATATCTCAACTACCTCATGGTAGTTGGGCTCGTATTGCATCAGGGACATACACATGAGGTGCCCCAGCCTGGCGTCCTTGAGGCCCCCTCGCCGCCATGTTTTGATCACGTTTTGCCGGGTGAATCCCCTTTCACACTCCACTGTGCAGAGGGGAATGACAGCCACCGCCACCCAGAGCTGCACCAGATTGGGGTAGCTCTCCCGCCAGTCGGGCGTGTTTAGCATCGCCGTGAGTCCACTGTGGAAGCTTCTCTTTTCCTTGGGGGCACGTGCAACGACTGAACATAAGAGGCGAAGCTCCTTGCCTGCCTGCCTCTTGTTAATGCCTGGAGGAGGGAGGGAGATTCAGACGAAGATGAGGCAAATAAACATACAGCATGACAGGTAATCAAGCATAGGGGTGAAGCCTTAACATTCATGGTTACCCAAAAGTACCTGGTAAGATCTCATCGCGGTGCTGTGCCTTGAACATCGTCACCAGAGAGTTCAGCCATTCCTGGCATCGTGCATTCCGCTCCGACTTGCTTTGTGGCCATGCATCAGAAATGAATAGGCGGACTCCAGAGAGCGAGTCGATGTCACCGAGCCTCCCCTCCAGGTTCGCCACGATCCTCTCAGCGAACTCGGTGCACATCTGGATGCAGCCGTCGTGGTCCTCTGGGCCACTATATGAGTCCATGAGTTCGTCGTGAAGAGTGAACGTGAAAGAAGCTGGTCGGCCGTCGTTTCGACTCCCTCGACCTTCACTTCGCGGTTACACCCAGAGCCATGGCGCTGCAGGAAAGGTGACAGCCACTGGCTCATGCCACCGCCAAAGTCATCGCCGCAGTCCACGTAGCGGCTCTCGATGTGATTGGTTGTCCGCTTGATCTGCGCATGCACAGACACCAGATCGAGTTGAACAGACGAAAGGCACACAAAGGCATAGTTAGAATCGTGGTGTAAAAGCACATGAGTAGATAACTTCGTAACACCTCACATGTCTGTGCTGGAAGGTCTTGTTCAAGATATTGAGCTGCTCAAGCACATCAGCCAGGAAGTAAAGGAAGAAGTGAAAATGGTAGGAGCTTGCCAGAGCATACATCTTGCTGTTAAGCTCTTTCAGTAGCACAATCACTGCCGGCAAAACAGCGACGAGGCGACGGACGGCATCCCCCCGTGAAAGCCACCGAACCGAGTGGATGCCTTGGACTTCAAGGCTCGTTTCGGTAAACAGTTCTTGCAGGTCCATGAATCGTGAGTGGCGCGGCCCCGACCGTCCCAGCAACTCGGACACAGCCCGGATAAGATCGTCGACCATGTCGAAGACGGGGAGCTCCTCTGCCGCATCCTTCGCTGCAAGAGCCTCCCTGCAAGTGGAACACATCAAAGTGACATTAGCAAAGTGTTCGAACACAAAAATGAAACGGCCTATAAACGAAACTGCGCACTAGCATGTGGGCGATGCAGTGAACGGAGACAAGGTGCGGAATTTTCTGACGCAGGCGGACAACCAGGCCGGCCTTCGTCCCCATCATCACTCTAGCTCCGTCGGTGCTAATGCCGGAAATCATCTGCAGATCGACACCGACTGCCTGCAAGTGGGAAAGGAGGATGCTGAGAAGAGAAGAAGCATCAGCTTTTTCCACCGTGATCAGCTGCATGAACTCTGTCACGAGGAGGTTGTCGCGGATGAACGTGACGTATAAAATCATGTGCTTCCCCCTGAGCCGATCCGTGCTTTCATCGATGCAGATGCCGATAAAAGGGCTTGTCAAAATGTGTTCCAGCTGAGTTGTCTGTAGCCAGGTGGCAAGAGACTGCGTGAGCTCACCAAAGCCGTACCTGCCAGCAGAACAAACCATGAAAGAATATTAGAATAGTCGAGAGAATCTTTACAAGCACATATAAACTTAGCTGCCTACTACTCACGTTGTGTAGTAGGTGCCGTACCCCTTCTTAGGGAAGCCGTGAACACCCTTGCGCGCGAGGTACTGCACAAGCTTCACCCATGTTTCCATGGGCGCATCGCACAGACTGATGAACAGCATGGAGTCGATCAACGCAATGACTCGGATCTTCTCAGCATCGACGACGACTCGATGTTCGTCGATCCGTGGCTGCTTGGACGCCGCGTTCAGCAGTGCCTCCTGCTTTTCCATCGCCAGCTTGTGTTTCGCCGTACCAGCGTGCTTGCGAAACGCCTGAGTCTGCACGTCTGTCACCCCTTGCCCTGTCCAGCCACATCGTCCCCTGACTCCGGCATGCTTGGTGCAGACAATGCACTTAAAGGCAGGGAAACCAGATTTATATTTCGCTAAAACTGGGAGCAGAACCAGGAAGGAGCGAATCAGCCAAGGGGGAAAGAACCGCAGCGTCATCCCAATTCACACTGCAACTTTGGTAACGATCAAGGCCAGCAGTCCTTGCATCCAGTCCGTCGCACAAGCGCATAGAACAAGCGTTGACTCCTGTCGCAAACAAAGACATTGCATCCAATCCGCTTGCACAGTCCGGTATCCGATCCGCTTCATGAAACAAGCTGCTGCACGCGTAGATTTTCCAGCTGAACACGTTTTCCTGCTGAGTCGCCTGCTGCTGCTGAGTCGCCTGCTGCTGCTGAGCAAGTTCATCCAGCAGGAACGTTTCGATAGGATCCAATTCTAGCACGAGATCCCCAAGAGTAGTGGTCTTCCAATCTCCTTACCTTCCAGTGCAAGGCTCTCCGCAGGCTGCTGCAATGTTGGAAGGCTGCTTACTTGCAATGTTGGATAGAACATGGGCTCAGGCTGCTGTTGACGCGCGTCAAAAGTGGATGCTGAAGGGCTGCTTACTTGCGATGTTAAATGGAACCTGGGCTCAGGCGGTTGTTGACACGCCTCAAAAGCAGATGCTGAAAGGCTTATTTGCGATGTCGGATCGCTCATGTGCTCAGGGAAACAAGGTGAGAGAGCTTCTGACATGGACTTTTGAGGCGCCTTAGACGTCATGCGCTCAGGGAAACACGATGAGGGAGTGACAGTTGCTGCTGGGCTTGTGGATTTAAGCATCAATTCATCTGCTGCTGCTTCATCTGATGTCTCTTCCGTCACATAATCTGCCGTTGCATCTGCTGCTTCCGCCTCCTCCTCCTCCACGTTTCCGCGGCTGGTTCCCGCAACTGCTGCGCCAGTTTGAGGAATCATGTCAAATAAATCCTCAGCAGCTCTTTTCCATCGGTCCTGATGATACGCCTTAAAACCATCATCACAATGATCAGAACCAGATTCAAAAAGCTCCTCAGCAGCTCTTCTCCATTGGTCCTGATGGCCCGTAAAACCATCAGAACCAGATTCAACCAGCTCCCCAGCAACTGGTGTGCATACATTTTCGTCGTCGTTGGCTACTGTTGCTGCGCTCGGCGCCCCCATCAGAATCGTCCTCTCAGGCATGCCCGTTGCTGGAGCGCACTTCTCGTGGCTTGATGTCGAATGTTGCTGACACTCATTGCACTGTTGCACACCAAAGGAGTGTTGTTGCTCACACGACGGGTGCTGGTGCTGAGTCGACGTGTGCTGGTGCTGAGTCGACGTGTGCTGGTGCTGAGTCGACGTGTGCTGTTGCTGACCCGGCAAATGCTGTTGGCATGGCGAGTGCTGTTGTTCGCAGACTGATGAGGAACTGAGAGGACCGCAGTCTCCTCTTTCTTCCAACGTCCTCTGCATCTTCACCATCACCATATCCATTTCAGCCTCCATCGGCGTCGTCCCCTCTGCAGTCATTTCTGAGACTCCTGTAAGCTGATTCAACTTCGAAAATTTCCTGTTAACAATATAAAAGATAGTACAGGGAGGAACACATGTAAGAGGCTTTTCTTGCAGCGCTATCGTGTTTGTCTGTCGCAATTGTTGCGTTCTCAGCCAGGTCCATGCTGCCTCCTCATGTCAGCTAACGTAGCTTCTACAGCTTCCTGCACGGTCAAGAGAAGCAGCAAGGGAGGAAAGAAAAACCGTCAGCGAGTTGCCTGCCACATTCTCATCTTTGTCTTCCCCACAGGAAATTCGCAGCTTGAACATCTTCAGCTGTGCGTAGCAGGAGAGGGCCCATAACATCTGAGGAAATGAACCTGTCCGTGAGTTGCGTAATGCATTCTCAATTCGTCTTCAACATTGAAATCGCAGCGACTTCGACAATTTCCTGCACGTAGAATCGAGACGAAGCATCTGAGACTTTACACCAGAGTTGTTCAAACACAGCTCGGACTGCTTTATGCACGCAGCAACGTTTTGAGAATTCAACAACTTTTGAGGATTCTCCAACTTTTGTGGATTCTCAAAAGTGAACACCAGAGTGGTTCACACACGACTCGGACTGCTTACTGCACGCAGTGACACAGAAAAGTAATCTGGGCGTGTGAACTATAAGACGAAGATCCCATGCTGTGATGATCCAGCAGAGCTCACTGTGGTACCGTTGCCCCTCAATGCACTGAAATTGCGATGAGACCAATGCATCAACATGACACCTCGAGTCATTGTCAGTACCGGCGATTGAGTCGACTGAGTCAGCACAATGCACAAAAACGTGTGTGAAGAGTATTACCTTGTAAGAACGATGAAGCGGTTACATTAAAAATTCTCAAAAGTGATATAAAAAGAGAATTCTCAAAAGAATTGTGTGTCAAGAGTAGTACCTTGTAAGAACAATGAAGCGGTTACAGCACGCCTTGTGGTTTCGCGTGGGGAGCAGACCCATAGATTTGATAAGCCTCCACTTCTTTGTGCCATGCCTTGCCACGTGGGCCAGTAAAATCCTGTCTTCCTGCACACACATCCGAGCCACGATCATAATTGTGAACACATCAGCACCATAGAATTCAGTTATATGGAAACCACAACGTTGTTAAGCGTGTTGAAGAGTACTACTACAAGAATGGGTATGTAATGTCACATCAGGGGTCAGGCGCAGTGCAGTACGGTTCAGTTGAGCGTACCTCCGGTTTCCAAAGTGCTCCCGTCGCGCGCTGGCGGCTCCTCCCGTTGGAGTCAGTACCACCAGGGGGACCAACTAAGGCGTTTCTCACACTAGTAGTTGTCATTCCGGATCCGAGACTGAACCTCACGTTACTAGACCTCATCCTTTCAAAGGACAGATCGAACAGTACGATCTCCGCTAGTACTTCCACCTACGCGTGTTACAGAAGAATAGTAGAGGCCTTTACGTGCAGGATTTTCAGCAACTTCGCAACTAAGCCTTTCAACTCTCGCCCTGCTAGGAGACACCAGCCTGGAAAGCTGAGCTACAGAGAAAAGACTCAATCTGCGGCGAAAGCGAGTCGTTTTGAGAAACTTGAAGTGGGAACAGTGGAAATAGAACGGGGAAAGAAAATACGGCAGGCTTGTTGGCCTGTCGCACGACTCTCGCTTCGAGGAAGCGTCTGCGTTACTACTACACGATACGAATATAGACGGCTGCTGGGGCCCCATGACGATACCATGAGGTGTTTCGATTAGGTTATCGCGCGGCGTGAATGAAAGACGGTGCACAGGAAAAAGAAAGCCTTGAGAATAGGTTGCGTTCGTGCTCCTAGCGTTCGCACGTGGATCTTGGGTGGGGAGGGGAAGGGTGGGGAGGGGACAACTCGCTGAAAACGAGTGAACTGGTGGGATTCTCGACGAGGAAAAGCTCAAAGGTAAGATCCGCAGCAGCATGCAAGGGGATGCGACCCTGGGGATATGAAGCGAGTGGCCGGGACTGCTCGGCTCGGCAACTCCCAGCCGTTGGCGAGAGTTGGTTCGGCAGTTCTCGTTTCTGGCCACCGGCATGGCACCCTCTCCCTACCGCTCGCTCCCCTTCTTGTTCCGCTTTTCTTGCGTCGCCCCTCCCTCGTTTCCTCGGACGTTTCTCCCTGCTCGTCGCTTTGCGTGCGTGACAACAGCCAGCCAATGGAGTATGGGCTCCAAATCCGCGATTCAATCTGGAGAAAATATTGTCTACAGTAAAGCTGCTTCAGCGCAGCTTCGGCAAGCCAGCTACCCTGGGCAGTTCAAACCCTAAACATCTACTTTCTGATCCGCAACCCTTTTCACAAAATTCAGTCTTCCGGGATCATGTGCGAAGCAAAAC